TAAGAATGATCGAACCTAAGCCAGGCAACATACTTGAGTTTATGGTAGAAAACGTCATATAATATTCATTTATTTTTATATGTACTTCGTTTGTTTTGTACACGCAATTAACGCAATTTACTACATTTCCAGATAAGTAGGCAATACTTTTTTTTAAAACCCTTATCTGTATTCTAATGAAAACCGCAGTTCACGATAATATAATATGGCTTTGTTGCTCTCTGCCTCTTTCTCTCTAGTGCTGCTCCCCATTCCAGAAATTTGCGTAATAATTCATAATGAAAAAAGTTTTTCCATCCCATGCTTGCCAGTTTTTCCTTCGCTTTCATGCTATATGTATACGTATATAAATATGCTTTTTTWTTTGAAAATAAATAAATATTAGGGCCATAGCGAGGCAGCAGCAACAAGAACTACATTATTATCGTCATTATGATGAGCCGCCTTCGCTAACGGCGAAGTTTATCAAAAGGCCAAGTAACAATGGCGATGGCAGCGACTGAGACTGAGACTGCGACGCCTTCTCGTTCCAGCTCGTTTCATACAGATGCACGGACACATGCGCAGAAGCAATGTACACACACACACACATACACATACTCGGTCATATGCATGTGCATTCACACACAGCTTTACATGGCCACTTGTAACGTGTGGAATTTGTTTACCCTTATTTCATTACAAAGGGATTGCAAACAAAAATATTAAAATTGTGGTAAATAAACAAATTTCGAAATAATTTAAAATATATAAATGCTTTAGCTGTTTACACATGCACACACGCACTTACAGCTACCTCTGCATGTGTGTGTGCACATATACATACGTTGTGCGCTCTCGTGTCTGTGTGTACTCTGCATACATTCTCTCGCTCTTGCTGCCGCATTACCAATTTGCTCTCTCTCTCTCTCTCTCTCTCTCTCTCTCTCTCTCTCTCTCCGCCTCGCAGGCAGCCATTGCCCGCGCCATGCCAAGTGTCTGCCCAATTCTTGTGGGTACATTAGCGCTAATGATGATTGAAACGACAAACGTGTCGCCTCGTCGCTCGAGCACAAGAGAAAGAGAGCGAGAGAGAAAGAATATGAGAGCGAGAGAGAGAGAGAGAGAGAGAGAGAGAGAGAGCTAAAGAGAAAAGCGTTAACGAATTCCGTGCTTTGATTTAAAATTTGTATCTCGTGCCAAATTTAAACTTCAAGGAGCGAGAGGCTGCGCCAACAAACGGGCGAGGAGCTCTCCGTGCAGCCACTTGGTATCCCATTTTTCTTCTCGTGCCGTTTTCCCTTTTGCATTGATTCACTTTGATGGGCGCTAATTGGGGTTTCTGTGGTGGTAATGATCGTTGGTATTTTCTGTAGTTTATCAAGTGGTAAATTTAAAAGCCGAACACTCATGTATAAGACGAGCGAGAAATTTAATGTATGAGAAGTAAAATAGGTATAATTAAAAACGATTTTTTATAATCATAATTAAAATTAGGATTAAAAAAAATTAATTTGGTTTTTATAAATATTTTTAAATAACGATATTTTATAATTTCAAAATAAACAAAAATTTTATAATTTCAAAAATAAACAAAATAACTCTGAATACCGAGTGTTAAAATATGGGAATATAGTAAATTCGTGTAGTTCGATTTAATTAATTATGGGATGTAATTATTGCGCTCCTTAATCAGTAAATGTTATTTCTACCGCAACGCCATATTGTATTCCCGTTAATAATTCAAGGCACCGCCCACTGAACCACTCACCCGCTCAGCCACTTCACCCTGCAACCAGCCAATTATCCATTTATTTCATAATTTCAATAACTTTTCATACAGTCGCGTGCGGGCTGAGAGGAGCGAGGCGTAGAGGCTAATGGAAGGGTGCTCGCTGCGATAGGTGGGTGGCTCGTTGGGTGGGTGGTTGCGTTTTTATGTAACTGCTGGTGGTTGCTCCTGACAATCTGAATGATGATGATGTTACGCAGCTACTGCTGTTGTTGCTGTCGCTGCCACTGCTGTTGCTGCTGCTGCTGCTGCTGCTCTGCCGCTGCTGTGTAAATCCCGGAAAAAAGCAGAAACAAGCTGGATGCGAACCGCATCCCACACGAACATGAGAAAAATCACAGCCACGAAGCATGCAGACGCACACACACACACGCATCCACAGAGACACACACAGAGAAAGCAGCGCTGCTGCCGTCGACGTCGACAATTGCTGCAGCAGATATTGTACAAATTTTACGACCAGCAACTTTTGAATTCAGTTGAGTTTGCAACACGTTCTCGTTCGCATGCGGCTTGAAAGGATGACCAGATCTCCGGCTTGCGCGATTATTTAATTCCCTTGGCTTCCGCTGTAATTGACGAAACGCGCGCAATTGTAGGCAACATTTTATGCCGTCGGCTAATTCAGACATTCAAGTGGAAAAGTGCATTACATTCAAAAGAAATTTAAAGATGCAGCTAAACATTTATATATTATTTATCTGAACTGAACTAAATAAATGTTGGAGCAAATACGAAACGGAAATTTTGGATAAAACTAAAATAAATAATTGCCCAAAAAGGTTTGTTTTGCCATTCAAAATTGAAATTGCCCTCATATAAATTAATGAAGTAGAATTCATTTAACTAAATTTATTTATTTATATATTTGCATATTAATAATAATTAACTCGTTATTTAATAACTCGTTATTTAATAATTATATATAAGAAGTATGCGAAGAAAATAAAAAGAATCTCAAAATTAGGAATCATTAATTTGTTGCGTTAACTTTGTTTACTATGGACAAAAAGTAGAATATTTTTTAATCCAAATCCAAATAAACCAAATTTCATTCTGTATTATATATAT